TGGACCAGCTAGACAAGAAATACAATTAACTACTGAATCAAGTAAACTTTAATAATTCCAATCATCACTTTTTGAAAATACATTTACATAATTATTAGTAATAGAACTACCAACTGTGGATCTATTTTCCTCTACTTGCACAGAAGTGATAAGTAATTATATTTACTGTGTTTACCTAGCTGTATGTAGTTTTGGTTTTAGCAACACTGATATGTACTCTATATAAATTTGTACAAAGGAATAGAATGAATAGAAAGCACTGTAAAATAATATATTTATTTTCTAAATTCAGGTACTTCATTTCCTACATCTGCATCGAGCAATGAATGCATAAACACATCAGCTTTATACATATCCCCACTACTGGGTATCTCTTTATTTATCAACTTGATATTGGCATGTGTGGTGATTGGGATGTGCTGTAAGAAGAAGATAGTTTATACTGTCAAGTAAGAGATAGAGAGAGAAAGGTGAAGTGGAAAAAGAAGAGAGAGAAGAAAGAAAAATACAGATCAACTTATTTTTCCTATATTGTGTATTTCAGATCCATCAAATTAAAGAATAATGTAGAACATGACTATGCTGTCCTAGAGTAAGTAAATTAAAATAAAAATGATGTAAATTAATAATACAAACGTAACAGGCCCCCAGTAGTTCAAAATCCACAAGATGTTATATATGAATCACCTTTGGACTTGTCATCAATTGAACCTCCACAGAACAACTACAACACTGTAGAAACAGAGCAAGAAAATCAATAAAAATTACTTAAATTAGCCTCATCTCCACAAACAGGCATATATAATTTGCAAGTAGTTAGTATCAGTGGAATACGTGTGTGTGTCTCTGTGTGTCATGCATGTCATGCAGTGTTATTTCATTATAGAGTGTATAATCATTTTCAAGTAATTTTGCTTGCATCAGATTCTTTTCCTATTCCTCCTGCAACAGAGCTGCCCTAAATCTAAACTGTAGTGCTCTTTTGGGAAGTACCTTTGTATTATAATAAATTTATTTATTCATGCTATAATAAACTATCAGTTTATGATGAGTCAATGCTGTAATGGTCACAAGACAGTTCATGTTTTGGCATTAGAACAAACGACTATTATCAAACTGAATGTACAGGTTTTGTAAAGGAAGCATAAGCTGGCATTGCATGCTTTCTTAATGGGGTAAATTAAGTTTAATCATGTGAGATAACAATTAAGAAACACACTTTATATACTAAACATGAAATTGAATATTGTTGACTGTTCATTTCTGTGCATATTTTGTTAAGATGATGAGGGCATTGCTTCTTCTTGCTGGCTTCCTCCTGTTGAGAGTTGAAGGACAAGAACCTAAAAACCTGCCTAGTAATGGTAAGAATATAAACTTAATGATTTTTATTGGTTACTCATCACCTGATGTATAGGTGTTCGACTGTATCTACCTTATGAGGACAGGATAATACCTGATTACTCTATGATATATGTTAGCCAGTTTTATAATACTAATAAAAATAATGACCCTGACTATATCAATGATGCTTTGTGGTGTCAGAGTGCTAACAAAGGCAATAATATTGGAGTGTGGTATTATCCTGATGGAATTGAAGTACCTCTATTTGATAAATCCTTTGTTGATCCATCAGCTCCTAGTCCATTGTTCAGTAAGAGATTCAGTGGTCAGATTGCACTAGCTAGAAGAGGTGGACTATCAGGATATGAAGGTTTATACAAGTGTATCATTCCTGATGAGAATGGAGTGAATCAAACACTAGTGGTTGGAGCATATACTGATACTGGATACAATAACAATGGTATGTGATGAATGTAGACTATAATTAATGTGCTTCTTTTACAGATGGTCCTGATGCTGATCCTACTATGCAGTTCTCTCTCCTCTCCACTAGTAGATTAGCTACTCCTCCAGTCTTCAGTCTGAGTTTCAATGTCTCTGATGGTCCTCCTACTACTGTCAGTTGTTCAGTGAATGGGAATGGAATATCTACTGAACTGTCTCGTGTGATAGTGAATGGATCAGGATTTATTACAAGAGTGACAGT